CATAGATATTGTAAAATTATTACCACAATAAGATTAGTTAGCGTCCCTATTCTTTCACATAATTACCTTTCTTTGTGTGGTGGTAATGTTTAAGATCTTCCAAGTATATAATACATCATTGTTAATTATAGTCACCACGATGTACATTAGATCCCCAGAACTTATTCATCTTGTGGTTGGAAGTTTGTATCCTTTAGCCAAACTCTCCCCAATTCCCCCAAACCCAGCCCTTGGCAACCACCATTCTGCTCTCTATCTCTTTGAGTTCAGCTTTTTTAGATTCCACATGTGATGGCATAAAATACTTGTTTTTCTCTGACTTATTTCATGTAGGATAATGCCCTCAAGGTACATCCATGTTGTCTCAAATGACAAAATTTTCTTCTTTTTATGGTTGAATAATATTCCTTTGTGTGTGTATGACATATCTACACATGATATATATATCACCTTTTCTTTATGCATTCATCGATTGATGAACATTTATGTTGTTTCTATGCCTCAGCTATTATAAATGTTGCAATGAACATAAAAATACTGATATCTCTTTGACATCCTGATTCTAATTTTCTTCTAATATATATCCAGAATCCAGATTATTCGATTATATGGTAGTTCTGCTTTTAAGTTTTTGAGGAAACTCCATACTGTTTTTCCACAGTGGCTGTACCAATGTATATTCACACCAACAGTGCACAAAGGTTCTTTTTTCTTTATAGCCTCACCAATATTTGTTGTCTCTTGTCTTTTTGATGCTGCTATTCTAACAGGTGTAAGGTGATACCTCATTGTAGTTTTGATTTGCATTTCCCTGATGATGAGTAATGTTGAGCATCTTATATGTGCCTTTTGGTCGTCTATATCTCCTGGGAAAAGATTCAGTTAGTTCCTCTACCCATTTTCTAGTTGGCCTGTTTGTGGTTCTTTTTGGTTTTTATTTATTTATTCTTGGGGGGTGGGTTTGAGTTTTGTTTTGCTTTGTTTTGCTATTGAGTTGTATGAGTTCCTTATATATTTTGGATATTAACCCCTTATCAGATGTGTGGTTTGCAAATATTTTTCTCCCGTTCTGTAAGTTGACTTTTTATCTTGCTTATTGTTTCTTTTGTTGTGAAGAAACTTTTCAGTTTGATATAGTCCCACTTGTTTATTTTTGCTTTTGTTGCTTATAATTTTGGTGTCATATCCAAAAAATAGTTGCCAAGACCGATGCCAAAGAGCTTTCTCTCTGTGTTTTCTTCTGGTAGTTTTACAGTTTCAGGTATTACATTTAAGTTTTTAATTCATTTCAAGTTATCAGTGGTATAAAATGGGGTACAGTATCATTTCTCTGCCTGTGGTTAATCCAGTTTTCCCAACACCATTTATTGAGGAAAGTATCCTTTCCCATTAAGTCTTCTTGGCTTTCTTGTCAAATATTAATTGGTCATATACGCAAGAGCTTTTCTTTAGGCTTTTAATTATGTTCCACTGGTCTATGTATCTATTCTTAATGCCAGTAATACTGTTTCAATTACTATAGCTTTGTACTAAAGTTTAAAAATCAGGAATTATGATGCCTCCAGCTTTGTTCTTCTTTGTTAAGATTGTTTTAGCTATTTGAGGTCTTTTGTGGTTCTGTATGAATGTCAGTATTGTTCTATTTCTGTGAAAAATGCCATTGGAATTTTGATAAGCCTCATTATTTTAAGCTTTTTCTTCCCTTATTTCATCCAATTTATTTACTTGTCTTCATTGGAACAGTCAGTCCAAATTACCTAGACTGAATTACAAGAAGCAGAAACATACAATACTCTCCTGTTTTCATCACCCTCAATTTCTCTTTCTTCCAGTTCCTCCTTTACAAAGGAACCAGTGATTATTCCAAGATACCACTCCGGTTGAGTCATTCCCTTGCACAAACGCTTCAAAAGTTTAATGTTGATTCTAAAATCAAATTTCTTGTTTTGTACAATTAGGTCCAACTCTCTCTTTCTTGCCTCATTTATTTACTGTACACTGAGTGGGCAGTGCTCACTAGGGCAGGTGCAGCCTAATCTCTTGCCTTTTATCTCTTTTGCCTCTTGTCTTACTCCAAACTTGCCCTACACTCCAGTCAAACTGGAAAATTCACTGTCATGTAGCAGACCTGGGTCCAGAACACAGATGGTTTAATTTCCATTCCAGGTCAGTGCTCTTTCTCCTATGATCTCATATTCAGGTTAAGTCCATTCAATTTGGATATTTATGGATATTCTAATAAATTAAATACACAAAAGCTCAACAAGTAAACATTATGTGACATTTTTGTATTTCTTGTTGCTTTTCAGGCTATTTGTCCTGTGAGTCAGAAATTTCAACCAAGGGGTGCCTGGGTGGCTCTATCGGTTAAGCGTCAGACTCTTGGTTTCAGCTCGGGTTATGATCGCAGGGTCATGAGATGAGCCTCACCTGGGGCTCCGCACTCAGCTGTGGAGTCTGCTTGAGATTCTCTTTCTCCCTCACCATCTCCCTCTCCTTCCCCCTTTGACCCTGCCCCCCCTCATGTGTACTGGGCATGCTCTAGCACTCTCTTGCTCCCGCTCTCTCTCTCTCTCTTAAATACATACATACATATATACATACATACAATCTTTACAAAAAAAGAAATTTCAACCAAGCATTACCTCTAGGGAGAGCAAAAGCAGGAGGAAGCCACCAGGGATGTAAGGTCTGGAAGTGAATTCATTATCACCATCATCATCGTCATCAACTTTTTGTCACTCTTCATAGTCACAGGGGAACCTAGGAATGAAACTTCAAGCTTCAGGCTTGTTTTCCATGAAAAATAAGGGACGGGTTGCCCGTGAAATTTGATTCTAGGTGCTGGGAACATCCTGCATCTAAATAAATCTACTCCCACCTGCTGGCGATTGCCTGAATATCCAGTCAAAGTTGTATCACACCAAAAAACAAAATAACGATTGGGAAGTAGGCAAACTTAGAAACAGAGATTCTAGTTTGGGCCTCTACTGTTATGTAAACTCAGGCCAATCCCCTTTCCTTCTCTGGGCCTCAGTTTCCCTATATTACAATGTGGATGTTTGGACAAAATGAACTAGAATGGCCGTTCCATGTTTATCAAGCAAGGATTTTTTTCTAGGATGCCTGGGTGACCAGGGAGGATAGGGGCATAACTAACAGCAGCAGGGGTGGGTTCAACTGACCCACATCTGTATGTGATAGAGACATATGGATCCCACCATCCTTTTTTATTTCTGCACCTATGTGGAAAGGCTCGAGCATTTGCTGCAATGGCAAGGGAAAGAGGGGAAAAGGAGATGAGACAGGAAGGTGTGAGGGTGCTCTGCTTTTAAGACAGGGAGCTTCAATATTCATTCTTTAAAAGTTTGATTCTACAATGGTTAAGAAGGCTGCGGGAAACACTCAGCTAAGCAGGTGATTGACGCTTTTCTGAGTACAAGCAGTTCCAACTCACCTCACCAATTACTGAGCGAACGTGGAAGAGGGCTGTGTTTCTGTGTGAATGTTCTAGCTAACCAAGAGGGACCTTCAAATTCATTTTCATTGCAACTTTTCTCAATGGCATGCCTTAGGAGGTTCACTGTTGGTAAATGTGACTGAAGTCGATTTGTTGATTGCCCATCTGGCCCACGGGCTCAAGGGCTGTTTTTCTGAACTTGCTTTGTCATGTATCAAAGGTGGGAAAGGCAGAGGAGATTGAGTGAAGTGATTTCCTTATCCTGTGACATCCTTTTGTTTCACAGGACAGTATTCCAGGTAGTGACAAGAATAAGAGCCCTCTAGTCAAAATGCCAACATTTCCACACTATGGAGCTGGAATGCCAAAGCATTGCAGTGGACTGCTCTTTGAAGGCTACCTCCCTTGAACATCCGAAACACTGGCTTTGGTCTTCTTTCCCCTTCAAGGTGTCAACCCTGGACTCTCACTTCCACTCTGCGTGCCCCGGCTATGGGACAGAGTCACATCTCAGAGTGATCCTGGCTGGTGAATCTTTCCAGTTCCCTGGGCGCCTAAACTTGGTGCCAAGAGCACTCCGAGAAATTAAAGTCTTTAAGAAATTCTTGGGCTACTGGAATCCAGTGTCCGGCCTGATGGGAGGGGCACCCCGCCTGGCCAGAGCTCGGCCATAAAGCCCACTGGTGATGCCCCACTACTGCGACCAGAGGCAAGGCAAGCGGGATTACTGGGGGGGCAAGATAGATGTTTTCAGATCTCCAGCTGTGTCCAGCTCTTTCAAAACACACATTCAGCCAGGGCATTCAAATCGCCTCCCTCCTGTCACCGCAAAAAAAAAAAAAAAACACAAACACCAAAAAAGCCCCCCAAAAAAACAAAAAGCAAAAAGCAAACAACAACGAAAATCCCAAACAAACTCTTGGACACGCGCTCTTCCAAGAGAAACCCACCTTTGGCGTTTTCGAAGAGAGGAAGGGGAAGACGCCCTGGGGGCCCAAAGCCGCAGACCCGTGCCCCGCCCCCAGCAGCCCGGCCCCCCTCCCCCTCCCCCCTCCTCCGCTGCCCCCCCCCCCGGCCCGGCCCCGCCCCTACCAGTGTCTGTAGCCGGCCTGGGGACGACTGCAGAGGCCTGGAGGGGCGGGGGGCCGCGCGGCGCGCAGGCTGCGGGCGGAGGCAGCCGCGCGCGCCTTTTTGTGCGGCTCCCGGGCCCCCGCGGATTGGTCGGGTCGGCGCTGCCGTCGGAGTGGGCGGAGCCGGCGGGGCGCGGCGCCCGGAGTCCAGTCGCAGCCCCGAGCGGCCGCAGACGGAGCGCACTTCGCCGCGGCGGGGTGCGCCCTGGGGCTGCGTCGGGCAGAGCTGCCGCGGGGCTGCTGCTCCTGGGCTCCGGGCTCCAGCCCGAGCCCGCGCCGCCTGCGCCTCGGCCCGTCGCCGCGTCTCCTTAGAGACTCGTAGCGACCCCTCCCCAGCTCCCCGCAGCCCATCCCTTTCCCCGGCCGCGCACTGCCGTCTCGCGCGCCTTGCAGCCCGGCGCGGGGTGGCCATGGGTATCAGGGGGATCCTGCGAGCCGCCGTGCTCCTGCTCCTCATCAGGACCTGGCTCGCGGAGGGCAACGAGCCCAGTCCTAGCCCAAAATTCCACTTCGAGCTCTCCCCGACCGTGCCCGAAGTCATCCTGAACCTCTTCAACTGGTAAGCGGGTGCCGCCGGCCCGGGCATGGCGGCGACAGGGACCGGGGGGCGGCCCCGGGCCTCCTGGACGGAGCGGGCTGGGGTAACTTGAACCCGGTTCGCCGAGCCCCGGCGCTGGGGTCCCGCCTGCGGGGCCCTGGAGCGGGTGGGTGGGAGTGCAGGCGGCGAGTGACATAGAGCTGGGTGCTTCAGCCCACCTGTCACCGCGGCGCCTCGCGGAGCCCCGCAGGTGCCCAGACTGCACCCCGGGGGCAGGGGGACGACGATGCCCTCGCCGCGGGGTCCGCCACGCACCCCCGGGACCGAGGCCGCGGGCAGGTTTCCCCAGTCATATCCATTGGCACCTGTGGGATTGGGGGGGGGAGGCAGTACGGGGTGATGGACAACTCACAAAACATAGACAGTATAGAGACACCTGTTTGAGTCAGGATTTTAGAGTGTTCCCTGAAGCTTGTGCGTGTGTTCGTGTGTGTTGAGCGGTGAGAGACCTTTTCCGATGCCGCAGATAGAAATTATTGACTCAACCTCATCGGAGCCCAGAGAGTGGATCAGTGGCTACATAACCCTATTAGCCGTGTGGCTTGAGATGGGTGTGCTTTGTACGCACTCCTGTGAAAACATTTGAGGATTCGAGGTTTGGGTTTTTTTTTTCTTTTCTGTGTGATTTCAAGTTTGTTTGGGTCTGCAAATATCTGAAGAGATGTTAAACAAACAGACTTTACATGTAGATCACACAAAAATGTGTATTTGCAGGAGCTACGGATCCTGAGCATTGTCGAATGGGTAAAGTGTGGTACTAAACAGGCGGGAATGCGTAGCTTTAATTCAAGAGTGATACATGTGTACACTTTGGAATGATGCAAAATGAAATTTTGTCATGAAAGATGATTAGGAATGATTTTTAAATGACAAACCAGAAATGAACATGTATTCAGAAAAAAGTGGGGGGGGGGCAGTCTGGCAAGGTTCCAGCAGACAGCCCTGCAATGTCCTCCACCCGACATACCAGACTGCGCTAGTGAACTCTCTCCCCCTCTCCCTCTCCATCTCCCTGACACACACACACACACACACACACACACACACACACTCAGATTTGCAGGGGCTGATGTTCCTTCCCTGGTCAATGCGTCAAACATCCTAAGAGTCCTAGTGAAACCCAGGGCCCGTTCTCATTCACAAACCCCTTTTGAGGAAAAGAGCCCCACAGAAGATCTAGGTGAATTGGATGAGCTTCAGAGACTTCTAGAAAGGCCAGCTCTCTGCAGGGCTGGGATGGGTCCACTTACATGTGCTCACCCAAAACACGTCTAGGCTGGAAGCATATGCTTTGCCAGAGAGAGGTCTGCTATGTCTTTTTGAGAACAGCCCTTGGGCCCCAGAAATCTAAAATTGTTTGGGTGAGGGTCTTAAATCTCTGCTCCATGAGCAAGGCTCTCTCTGCGTCATGTGCCATATGTCAAGTCTTCATACACAGAGTTGTATAAGCACAAGATTTACATAGACGTGACAACAAAATGCCCAGTCGTAGCCTATGTAGGGGAAATGTGACTAAGCTGGAGGATGTAAACCGGCTGGCTCAGCTCAGGAAGACACCGAGGGTGGAAGATGACTTTTCCAAAGGCCATCAGGTGTCCCTGGGAACACTCCCACTGACCTGGAAAGCTGCATTCAGGATGTTGACAAGATGGAGCTTCTTCAGGGGTTGAAGTAATGTGTTTATCTCAGGGCTGGAAGCTGCCCACTCCCTCCCCCCTTCACTTCCCCTACACTCTCCCCTCCTCATTCCCCCTCCCCAATCCTGCCCAGTAACAAGCATCCAGTCTTTGTGCCCCATTCTCTGGATAACAGCGGAAGAGGGGGAGGGGGGAAAAGGAGTCTGCGTCACTGCTGCGCTTCTGGCTGACTCACTGTTGGGAGGGAGGGGAGCAGGGAGAGACGGGTACATGTATGACTGTACATGTCTGCATGTGTGGAGGAGAAAAGAAGGCCCTTGCAAGTTGACATCTGGGGTGTTCTTTGTTCCCTGAGATGCAATGTGGCATGTACTGATGACCAGCATTTCCCAATGACTTCTCTGTTTCAGCAAAAATTGTGCAAATGAAGCTGTGGTTCACAAGATTTTGGACAGGGTCCTGTCGAATTATGATGTCCGTCTGAGGCCAAATTTTGGAGGTAAGACGTATCCAGATTCTAGAAGCCTTTGTGTTAGGTGGAATAGAGCTGAGACAGATGCAAGGAGACAAGCCCTGCTCTGGACGCTGACCAGTGGCACTCCCCAGGCTCAACACTTTTGCCTCTCCACACCCCACCTTCCCCACTCTGTGGAAAAGCTGCAGGAGAGCACTTCAAGGCCCCCAACCCCCAGGTCTTTTGCTCTATCCCTGCAATTTCACCCACTTCTCTGCCTTCTTATGCCCCTTCCCTTACAACAGCCTGAAGTGCACTCCCTGGTGTGGCTGGAGAAGCAGTAACCACAGACAAAATTGCTGTGTCTCACAGGCTAGACTTTTCTGCTCCATCTCTGGGGGCTGGGGCGTGCATTCTTCTACTTGAGCCCACATTCTTTGCACCTTGGACACTTGCAAAGTGATTAGCTAGTTCAAAACTAAGGGCACCGTCTTCTCAGTCTAGTTTACTTTTCCCACCCAGGTCCTGGGCACTTGTACCCCGCCACCCCTCAGCCAAAGCCTTCAGCTCCCACCAAGTTAAGTTCATTCAACACACTGCGGTGTGATCTTTGTAAATCCAGCCTTGTCACTTACCTCTCAAACTTTTGATGGCATTATTTAACTGCCAAATATAATCCAAACTCCTTACCCAGCACTGAGATCTCAAGCACAGAAAAGAGAAATGACCAAGAAACTGAAACGGGAAGCCAATAGATGAGTTTCTACTTTAATTCCACCTATCCTCCCCCCTGGAAAGGGGTGACTGGGCTCAATCACACAGCTTGAAGGGACAGCCAGTCTACTCCCACCGCACAGAACAGGAGTGGCATCCTTTGGCCCAGGAGCCATCCAGGAGACCTAGACCAAGGGTGGACAAAAGGAGGGGTACGCTAAAGAAAAGTTAGTCACATTTCCGTCCAAAGGAAACAGAGAAAGAGCTAAAAGTCAGAGTGGCTAAGTTAGAGAAAGCACTCCACTTCCTGCAAGTGTTAGAACTACACACAAACTCTAAAGGGTTAATGAATGCTAATGGTCCCCCTGGGTACATATGAATAGAGGTCTCTGGAATTCACAACAAACCTCCACACTGAAGGGCTGAAGGGCACACAGGCAGTGAGGTCGCTAGTGAGGTAGACCGATGGGGGCGCTGTGATTTGCCTGGAGAGCCCCCAGGAAAACCAAAGCCCCATGCTTTGGAAGCGGGCTGCTTAACTGGTGTCGCCTGGGGACAGAAGGTGCAGTCCCAGATCCAGGGTGAGTGTGTGCTGTACCTTAGAAAGCTGGAGTGGAGCCTGGAGAAGGCAGGTTCTTTCCCAGATGCTTGGGCCCAGCCAGCGCCCCATTGTGCGACACTGGTTTGGAAATGCTGCACCAAACTCCTGTGGCTGTCAAGGGAGTTGCTACTACACTTCCTCCCTTCCTCATGGTCACGCTTCTCAGCAAACGCTGACCAACAGCTGGTCAAGTACACCAAGCATACCCTTCGCGCTTTTTCAGGTTGCAGTCTCTGCAGGCATGGGGGTGGGGTGGGGGCAAGGGCAAGGGCCCCAGCCTCTGGGGATTATCAGGTGTGGCTGGTCCACAGTATCTCCAGGGCACCTCACAATCGTCTTCTGAACTAACTCGGATTTGTTAACACCTGATGCCTAACCTCCGAAGTTACACTAAGCTTTATGGGCATGTACACCTGGGCCATATGACAAAAGATGGGTCCCTGATTTGGCCAAATAGTAGATGAAGGTGGTAGAGCGAGGACAGTGCATGACTTCCCGGCATTTAGAGAGAAGGAGGCACTACATGCTCTGTCTGCAACTGTTATATGGGCTGGGGGTGGGAGTGTCAATCAATGGGACCCTGGGTCAGGGGCTTCAGGGTTGGGGTAACCCAGGACTCCCTGTAATGCCTCCCACTAGATACAAAATCAAATTCCCTTCTGTCCAAATGAAATTGAGATTCTAGGACATAAACACACACACACACACACACACCTCAGATACAGAGGCCTCACCTAACTGGTCAGGGTGGGTGGGTCAGTAATGAAGCTATGGGAACCTTATCACTTCAGGAGGCAGAGGAAGAGGAGGAGGAAGAGCCAGTTGCTTCTTTCTGGGCAAGAGAGGTGGGGATTCCACAGTGTTACCAATGGCAAGTCCTTGGGGACTTCACCTGGTTCAGCACCTGGCTGCTAGCATAGGCCTAGAGGAAGGGAACGAGTGGGACATCTTCATCATTCCTTGACTTATCTGTTCTTCCTCTCCTATTCTGATGGCTGCCAGGGAAGACAAGGACTCGTGGTAGCAAAACCTGCAAGAGGGAGGAAGTGGTTAACCCCTTTCTGCCTTCCTGAGCCCATCAGGAGGGATAACAATGGGAAGTGAGGCTGAGACCATCACCCGAGAGATAGCATTTAGACACCTTATCTGGAAACTTCTTGTTCCCCTCTGTGGGGTACCTTGGCTAAACTCCCACAAGGTGTCCCCTCTAGATGGGTAAATTAGAAAACAGTCCCAGGTGTCCTTCCTCCAGGCTACATCCCCAGGCCAGGACTCCTGGCTTGGTGAGGGGAATATGAACTTCATTTCAGCTCCCACATGCCTCTTCCCCTGGGGGCCCTTGGACAGGGCTACCTCCTGGCCCTTTAGGGTTGAGGTCCCCCAGGATTCCACTGTAAGAGATGGGGTTGCCTGAGTGGCACTAAGATGAGAAGTCTGACCCAAGAGTGAAGTGGGGGCAGGGATGGCTGCCTGGCCCCTCTAGGGCTCATTGCCTGCTGAACACACTTTCCACCCTCTAAAGGCCTGTAGGGAACCTCAAAGGCTATAATAATAAAGAACTACATTTCTAGAAACCCCTATCACTACTTGTGTTGCCAGGGATCATTCACGGGAGCCCTAAGTGCTGGAGTCTGGGCTACGCCCTCACAGAGAAGCCCATTCTCAGCTGCCATTCATATGCCAATGCCCCGTCACATGTCACTTTTTGAAGCACTAGAATAGGAATAACACTTTTTCCTCTTTGCAGCTCAGTTTCTTTTCTTCTTTAAATTTACATTTTTTAAAAGATTTTATTTATTTATTCATGAGAATACACAGAGAGGAGAAAGAGAGAGAGAGAGAGGCAGAGACCCAGGCAGAGGGAGAGGCAGGCCCCATGCAGGGAGCCCGACGTGGGACTCAATCCCAGGTCCCCAGGATCACGCCCTGGGCGGAAGGCGGCACTAAACCGCTGAGCCATCCGGACTGCCCACAGCTCAGTTTCTCGGCTGTCAGCCTGCAGTGAAGCCAGTGGACTAAGTTGCAAGTGTCCCGCATGTTCCCCTAGCAGTGTTGTGGTGTGATACATATAAAGTAACGGCTTAGCTGTGGGCCTAGGTAAAGGCAGCTTTCAGCCAATAGGAAACCACAAAAAAGTGTTTTTCCACTGCACCGTATAGTTTACTACATATTTTCACATCCTTTATCACGTTTGAGTGGGCAGTGCTAACTCCTAGGACAGAAAAAGAAAGCCAGGAGGTAGAAACTCACATAGACACACATTCAGTCACACTCACACCTTACACATGCACAGACAACAGGAACATGTTCTCACAAATGCACTCAACAATTTATTCATACACAGGGGTGCCAGAGTGGCTCAGGTAGTTAGGTGTCCAACATCCGCTCAGGTCATGATCTTGGGGTCCCGGGATCAAGCTCCCTGCTCCCTTTCCCTCTGCCCTCCCCCCTCCACTCGTGCACTCTTTTTCTCTCTCAAATGAATAAAGAAAATCTTTTAAAAAATGTATTCATACACACATTCACCTGCTTTTGCTCCCATGTTCACTTATACTTGCACACCAACTTGCTCACATATACAAACATACTGTGAAATTCACTCACATACATACCAACTTGCACACACAGACGCTGGGATATTCACATACATGGATGTACACATGAACACGTTCACACATTCGTTCATATACATGAGTCACTCACATTCACCCACACTCAGAAAAGAGCTTACACATAAACTGATCTCCACATGCTTATACATGCACATACACTAACATAACTGCACACACACAGGCAAATACAGTCACTCACAGAGGAACTTGCTCATACACATGAACATGACACAAACATGTCCACATATTTATCAATTCCCACAAATGTGCCCACACAGGAACACACATTCACATCCACATGTGGAAACACTCACACATTAACCTGCTCACACATTCACTCATCCCTGCACAGTGACACATGATCACACGTGAATATGCTCATGGATTCACTTGTGCATCAGTATGGTCACACATTCAATTACACACAACACAGTCATGTACACTCATTTAGTCACACACAAACATGCTCATACACACCCACTCAAGCATATAAATGAGTTTACATACAGACACCCACATATATAAGTATGATGAGGGTGAGGATGTAAACATGATCACTGATCACACTTCTAACTTGTATACAAATAGGGCCACACGCACAAATATATTCACACAATGAACATGCTCACACTGACACAGTCACACACAAAATTTCACTTACATTCTCATTCACTCACACAAACACTTTCATTTACACATTCCTTCATACATGGACTTAACATGCTCACACACAGACTTACACATGAATATGCTCAGACACATCCATTCAACACACAAACGTACATACACTCACATAAAATTATCTTTCACATACAAACATGAATGTGCATTTACTCACACGTGGACATGCTTAAAAATACATTTATAGGTAGAGGCTCACAGACAACCCACATATTTACTTCCACAAAATACACTTAAATACATACGTGTTCACACATGTACTAGCTCACAAACACACTTAAAAATACTGATATATTCACCCACATTTCTATACGAATGCAGCATATTTATAGACATGCTCACACATTTACTTCTCACAAAACACTTAAAATATTTAATGTTTAAATATTTATACACACAGACATGGTCACATCCACTCATGTACATGCTCACACATTGACTCCCACATAAACATGCCCACATATATGAACATACAAATTTGCCCACACACAAACTCACAAATACAAACCTCCCATGTTCACTTGCACATGAACACATTTCATATACTCACTTCCATGCACCAACCTGCCTACATGCTTAAACACTTACATGCAGTGTATGCAAGCACACAAGCACACTTATGGAATCAGTCATATATGAACACACACATTCACTTCTATGCATGGACATGCTCACATACACACACACACATTTACACACACAGATAAGCTCACAAATACACCCATGCTCAAACATTCCCTTGCACATTAACAAGCTTACATACATTCACACATAGTCACAATTCACTCACTCAGTTACACTCCTACACGAACACACGTTCATTTGCCTATGAACACACACATTCACTCATACAACATGCCTACATACATGCAAATGCTCACATATTTACTCCCACACAACACACTTAAGTACACAAATGTGCGCATCCATTCTCACTCATATACTCACATGCTCTCATGTGCACAATGACACCTTCACCTGCGCATGAGCACAACCACACATTCACTCATGCACATGAATGTACTCACCCACACTCATGTGCACAACACACATGTCCATTCACACAAAGACACATATTAACTCACATACACTCATGCAAATATGCTCATACACACCACAAACCTTAGCTCTTGTTTTTGGGCTCATTGCTCTTGAGTTTTTATCACAAAAACATTTAGAAAAAGTGTGCTTCATCTCCTTATTTTCTCTTTATCTTACCCTGACCCCTTCCTTTTATCCTGTCATGGCCAGGCCCTGCTCTAAGTGGTTGGTTTGCATTAATTATGAGATCAGTGCTGTCATTATTCTGAGTTTACCCATGAGGAAATTTAGGTTTGTACAGGTTAGGTAACTTTTGTAATGTTTATTTAAATTCCAGTTAACGTACAGTATCCTTTGAGTTTCAGGTGTATAATGTAGCAATTGAACACTTCCATACGTCACCCAGTACTCATCACAACAAGTGCCCTCCTTAAGCCCCATCAGCTGTCTCGCCCATCCCTGTCCCCCTACCCGCTCATCCTCTCTGGTCACCCTCAGTGTGTTCTCTCTAGTTAAGAGTCCATGTCTTGGTTTGCCTCTGTCTCTCTTTTTTCCCTATGCTCATTTGTTTCATTTCTTAAATTCCACATATGAGTGAAATCATATGATACTTGCCTTTCTCTGACTTATTTCACTTAGCATTATACTCTCTAGCTCCATCCATGTCATTGCAATTGGCAAGATTTAATTCTTTTTGATGGCTAAGTAATACTCCATTGTATATACACCACATCTTCTTTATCCATTCATCAGTCGATGGACACTTGGGCCAGTCCCATAGTTTGGCTACTGTAGGTAATACTGCTATAAACATTGGGGTGCATGTGTCCCTTCAAATGAGTATTGTTTGTATTCTTTGGGTAAACATGGAGTAGTGCCGTTGCTGGATCATAGGGTAGTTGTATTTGTAACTTTTTTTTTCTTTTATTTAACCATTTTTTAAAGATTTATTTATTTATTTATTCACAACAGACTCAGAGAGAGGAGAGAGAGAGGAGAGAGAGAGAGGCAGAGACACAGGCAGAGGGAGAAGCAGGCTGTATGCAGGGAGCCTGACGTGGGACTTGATCCCGGGTCTCCAGGATCACACCTTGGGCTGAAGGCAGTGCTAAACCTCTAAGCCACCGGGGCTGCCCTATTTGTAACTTTTGGAGGAACCTCAGCCACTCTGGAAAACAGTATAGAAGTTACATAACTTATTCAAGGTTGCACAGCTAGTAAGTGTCGCAAGAGGGTCCAAAGCTAGGCAGTCTGGCTCCTGAGTCCAGGCTTTCCCATAGTCTGCATGTAATAGTGTCTTCCTGTGTTATAGGTGCCCCTGTGCCCGTGGGAGTATCCATGTATGTCTCCAGTATCGAGCAGATCTCAGAAATGACTATGGTAAGTGTGTCAGCTTCAGTAATTGGTCTGGGGACAGGGCACATGTGGCAAGGAGCATGGTCATAAGCCAACTCTAGTTGTTCTGACTTGTGGCAGAGCTCACATAAGTGAACACGGTAACTTTTAGAAACTACAGCCACCTTGAACAAAAAAATAAATCCAAATGAGTTATAAACCTAAAAGTGAAAGGCTTATGAAACTTTTAAAAGAGAATGTAGAATATTGTCTTTATGTCTTTGTGGCAGGACTTTTTTAAAAAGTCACGGAAAACAGAAACCATACAAATAAATTCTGGAAATTTCCCCTATATTAAAATTCTAACTAGCCAAGACTTCTGGAACTTCTGTTTTACAAAACAGACAACAAAACCAGTATAACAAGTGTAAAAGGATAAGTCAGAGTGGACTAAGATTTATGCAACACGAAGAGCTGCTCTTGGAAATCTATATAATTCCTGGGCATTAATAAGAATATTTTAAAAACAATAGAAAAATGATTAGAAAATTTGAACAGGAACTTCCCTTTTGTGAAGACAACAAAGTGGCAGATAAACATGTGAAAATATGTCAGACTTTATTATGAATCAGTGAAATGCAAACTAAAACCAGAGCAAGAATCCATTACATATGCACCAGAGTGACAAAAGTCCAAAGTCAGACAGTACCAGTCTTGGCCAGGCATGAGCATTGGGAACTCTCATCTGCCCCCAGTGAGGGGGTAAAGGGGAACTTTCACATCACAATTTTTATTTCATGTTGATTTTGGTGCGTACTGTGTGTTCACACAAGGGAATAGTCTCTCCAGGGCAAGTGAACAGATTTTAATTACAGACATCAACATGAATGAGTTTCACAAATAGAATTTTGAGTGAAAGAAACTAATTATGAATACATGCAGTGTAATTCCATTTGGAAGAAAAAATTAAAAATAGATCCAAGCAATATGTTTCCTAGAAATACCTATATAGAAAATAAAACTCTAACAAACCAATAGAGCTATTATCACTAAAATCTAGATAACAGATACTCCTGGGAGGTAGGTGTGGGGAATATGCTCTAGAAGGAACAAACTGAAACTTGAGAGTTATTGGTAATATGTCATTCCTTAACCTGGAGTTTAATTACATGAAGTTCAGTTTATTCTTAACATCTAACATTCTTATATGTTCCAATACTCGTCTGTATTTGTGATGTGTTTTGTACACCTGCATGCATGTGCGCGCGCACACACACACACACACACACAAACACACACTTTGAGGATGGAAAATTGGACGAGCTCACTTATGACTGGAATTTCCCTTTCTTTCTCCAGGACTATACGATCACAATGTTTTTCCATCAGACCTGGAAAGATCCACGTTTAGCATACCATGAGACCGACCTGAACTTGACCCTGGACTATCGGATGCTGGAGAAGTTGTGGGTGCCTGACTGCTACTTTCTAAATAGCAAGGATGCTTTTGTGCATGATGTGACTGTGGAAAACCGCGTGTTTCAGCTTCACCCAGATGGAACGGTGCGATATGGCATGCGGTGAGTTTCCTCAGGGCCTTGACGACCATCCTGGCAGGCTTCCTTCTTCCCACCACGTATCCCATAAATGCACCGTAAGGGACACACTAAGGAGCCCGTGGCTTTCCACGTCTGTCCTGCACTGCCCCCTCACTCCTCCTGTACAGTAGTCAAAGTGAAACCTTCAGAGTTTCTCACAGCCATCCTTGGCTGCCCTGTCCCCACACCTTGGCCATCCTTCAGTCTGTAACTTCAATGCCCTCCTTGTCAAGAAATCCTCCTCAATTTTCTCAATTCGAAGAGCTCTACCTCCACCTTTTATGCATTTTATACATTCTGTTATTTATATTTGTTTATTTTCTCTTCCATCGAGTGAGGGAGGGAGACAAATGAATGGTGAAGCCCATTCAGGGAGGGAGGGGCTCAATCTCGGCCATTGGTCATATTTGCATCATGCAGGGGGGCCGGGGTGTGCGGTACTATGCCTGTTGTCTATGGCTCTTACACGTAGGATGTGTACACACTGGAAATCCTCACTGGCTTATTTATAGAACAGCATATGGTCACTGAGCCTCTCGTCACAGCATCGTCTCTTACAAACCATCACTTAAGACAAGCATAAGAGATAAACGAGCTCAGAAAATTTCTCCAAGAGGTAGTTGCACCAGGGTTCAGCCTCTGTCTCTGAGTCTCTCTTCCTCTGGTGTGCTCCTGCTCTATCCCTTTGTTTCTCTCTCTCTCTCCATGGTCCAAGGTGCTAGAGTCAGAGAACAACAAAGCTTGCAGGAAACAAGGTCACTGGTCATACTTGTTTCAGTTAAAAGGGCCCTCAGCTGATAAATGCTGCATGGACGATTCATGGAAGGGAGACAGACAGACAGACAGGCAGACACACCCACACCCACACACACACACCCTACCCGGTGTACAAAATGGAAATCACTGTGGTACCTGGTGGCTCAGTTGGTTGAGCATCTGCCTTTGGCTCGGGTTATGATCTCAGGGGCCTGGGATCGAGCCCCGTTTTGGGCTCCCTGCTCATTGGCGAGTCTGCTTCTCCCTTTCCCTCTGTCTGCCGCTACCCCTGCTCGTGTTGTGTTCGTTCTCTCTCTCTCTCTCTCTCTCTCTCTCTCTCTCTCTCTCTCCCTGTAAAATAAACAAAAAATAAAATCCTAAAAAAAAAAATTGGAAATCACTTCGAGGTCTAGCCTTCCTTCTATGTGGCAGGTCACTTGTCTCACTTCCCCAGGTCCTCCCAGATCCTTCCTCAGATTCCTGTCACAGACCCACCACATGGCAACTTGAAGCCCCTGCCCAATAGTCCATATCCCACCTGAGACATGTTAATACCTCCTACCCATTTATACCTACTCCCGTTGTTTTGCTTGGCCCCGGTGGCCTACATGCATAGGCAGACACAGAGAGAGGAGAGCACAATGGGAGCACCTCCCACCCCGGATCCCAAGGTGGGCCTGGGCTACAGCTTGCATTCCTACATGCACAACACATACGGGCACTCCACGTCAGATTGGGTACCTCAGCTGCTTCTGTGCAGCCCGTTTGGCTCTTGCGAGTTTTGCTCCTTTTTCAGCAAGAAAGTCCATTCCCTGTCTCTCCATCCAGTTTCCTCCAGGGCCTTTCCCATCCTATTGCCCTGTGGTTTCCTACTGTACCTCTCTGTTCCTTGCCTCCTGCCGCACCTCTTGGTTTCCCTGTCACATACACCTGCCCTCTCCTCCCTGTGCAACTGTGAGTCAGCTCAGCCCTAAGAAGGAAGGGAAGGAAAGGAAGAGGAAGAGGGAGGGGAAAAAAACCAGAGGGAGGGAAGGACAACCCAGCTCGAGGGTAGGCAGTTTGGGAAGGTGTTGGGTGGGTCGGAACATGGAGCGCCTCTCTCCTCCACACCCCTGCAGTTTTCTCAGGAGCGGCTGCTGGCCTAGCCTTGACTCACTTTTCCCTTCCTTTTGCTTTTCCTCTGCAGACTTACCACCACAGCAGCATGTTCCTTGGATCTGCAGAAATTCCCTCTGGACAAGCAGACCTGCAAGCTGGAAGTGGAGAGCTGTACGTATATCTTCCGAGGCTGCCTCTGTTCTACCTGGGGTTCAAAAGGTGGAGTAGACAGTGAGAGGGAGGGTGTTATCTCCCCTACTCCCTGCCTCCCCACTCTCTCGCTCTTCAATAGATGGGCAGGCAGGCAGACAAAGGTATATATGTAGCATCTGGCAGAAAGTGGCCTTTCACGCGTAAATAGTCCCACGGGGACATTGTGGACAAGCCAGTGGGTAGGAGCACATCTGTTTACTCTGCTTCCTTTCCTAGCTAAGAAATTCCTAAGTGAGACTTCCTTTCTAGTGCCCCCCTCCCTTGTGCTCAGACACAGAAAACCACAAAGGTGCTCCAAAAGTGCACGTTCTGACCATCCTTTGGATTCCACAGACTGCTCTGGCGTGAAATCTGCCCATGCCTGCTTTCTCAGACCAACTCTCTCTCCCTCTCGCAGATGGTTACACGGTTGAAGACATTGTATTATACTGGGAAGGTAATGGGAATGCCATCCAGGGGACTGAGAAGCTGCACATTCCTCAGTTCAGCTTCCTGGGAAAGACGATGAGTAGCAAAGAGGTGTTTTTCTACACAGGTGGGTGTCATCTTCTCTCCCATTTCTTCTGTCTTTGGTACCCTGGTAAACTGCACGTCTGTCTGCCTTTGACCTCTACACTCTCTGCTGCCTCCTCTCCTATTGCCTTCTTGCTCTGGACGCCTTCCAAAATCCCCTTCAAATGAGGAAATCAGTGTGGGAGCGCTTGGCCCAGTTGACACTCTACGAGTGCAAAAGGTTCATGTGCTTGCTGATAAAAACAGGCCTCCTCTCCTGAGTCAGCCTCTCCCCACTCTGTTTGTATATTTTAAATGTTTCCTGTATCCCCCGTCTCAAAACTCCAGTTGACATGAAACAAGTGACGAAGGAAGGAGGAGAGAACAGACTTGTCATGCCATATGGGCCTACTGACATGCCATGGTCACTGGCCTTAAGGCAGCAAATAGGGTCACATTGCAGATTGCCCAGGCTGGAATATTAGAGGCTTCCCCTCCTCCATCCTGTACTTCACCCTGAAAATCCCCTCGGCCCTGCCACCCTAATACCATTGTGTCTCCTTGCCAGGTTCCTATGTGCGCCTGATACTGAGGTTCCTGGTCCAGAGGGAAGTTACCAGCTACCTTGTGCAGATCTATTGGCCTACTGTTCTTACCACTGTCGTCTCTTGGATATCATTTTGGATGAACTATGAATCCTCTGCAGCCAGGGTGACAGTTGGTAGGTCCTGTCCTCATCCCAGGGAGGAACTTGGATGATCTTGCTCAGAAAAATTCGAGAGTAAGAGAGGAATACTTGGAATGGTGTGTGACTGCACAGGCAAGGAAGCAATATGGTGCCTGCCCAGCAGGCATTTATAACCAGGGGCTTAGCAAGTCCCCAACAGAGAGCCCGATGTTGGAGACAAATGTGAAAAAAACATCAGGGCTGGGATCTTGCCCTGTTGGCCCTGAAGTATTAGAAATCATTATTTGCTGGATGCATGAATGAACAAGTCATACATTTAGATCAGAAATGCAATACAACAAACGTTGATTAAGCAGCATATCAAAATGCCCATCAAAATGGCAGTAGAGGACTTCCAGAGAAGCTGCCCTCAATGGGTGTCTAGTGGGATGCTGGGATAGATACTGTGAGATGCCAAAGGAGGAAATGACCAGGTCTTGTTGGCTAAAAGTGCACCAAAAAAGTATTGCTCAAACTGGGTTTTCAAGACTTGCAGGACGCAGAGGCATAAGGCTTGTCATTCAGTAAAACAGGAAATCACTATTAAAAGGCACAGGGGCCCTAAAAGGGGAGGACATCCCAGGGTGCTTGGGGCAGAAGCTAGGGAAGTAGGAAAAGTCACAGAGAGACAGGAGGGCCAACTGGGAAAGACCTCAAAATTCCAGTTTAAGCAGTTAGAACTTCCGGTCCCAGCAATGGGGAGAACCAGGTGGTTTTGAGCAATACCTAGGAGGGGCCTACAGAATCAGCTCCCAAGTTTCTATGGACCCAGTGTGCCCCATGTCCAGGTCTGGTTTATCCTTCACCATCTTTGGGGCAGACTCCTCAGCCTCCTTCTTTAGGAGCACATGTTGGACTGAGCCTTTAAGATTTGGGTAATATTTTAAGGGCTCACAAACCTTTCTGAGGGACATGAGCTAAAGGAAAGCCTATGTACTGAAAGGCAAAAGAGGCTGGAGATGTAAGTCACTGTGAAACCATGGCTGGAGATTTTGGACTTGATTCTAATGAGAAAGTCACAGAATCATCAAAGCGTGGGCCAAGTATAAAGCTGGGGAGGAAGAGCAAAGAGAGTGCAAAGTCCCCAGGCCTAGAGAGCCTAAGGCCTTTAGCTGAGGGCCCTCCCCACCCCAGAGATACATCCTTCCTGTGGGACAGGGGCCTGATGGCTCACCCAGAACTTCAGCCACCTGAGGAGGCTAATCCTGTGCCATGTTCTTTATAGGTCTGACTTCAATGCTCATCCTGAACGCCATCAACTCACATCTGCGGGATAAACTCCCCCAAGTTGCCTGCATTAAGGCCATCGACGTCTATATGGTCGTTTGCTTCTTATTCGTGTTCCTGTCCTTGCTGGAATATGTCTACATCAACTATCTTTACTACAGCCGAGGAGGATCCCGGCGCAACCAAAGGCGACGCAGGAGAGCCCGAAGAGTCATGGCCCGCTACCGATACCGGGAAGTAATGCTGCAGGTTTGGTTTTTTCAGCTTTCCCTGATTAGGGAGGGATTAGGCACCTCTTATGCCTAAGCTTAACCCTTGACCCTTTCACATTTCTTGGTTCCTTTAATCCTTGCACCACACACACACACACACACACACACACACACACACACACATCAGATAACAAAGAACTAGAACAATTTATCATCACTCCTTAACAGGTCAAATCATTGTCCAAAGGTCACAAGGCAGTAAGTGGCAGAACTAGATTTTCCCAGACCTTTTGACCTCAAATCCAGTCCACTTAGTATACTTTCAAGGGCAGGTGACAGAACCAGAGGGAAGGGGAGCATAGGGAGGCTGAAAGGAAAAGAAAGACACCAAAGGGGTTGGCCTACCCCTCCATCCTTTGCTCTTTCAATTCTCAAAGCCATGCCATGCTCAGGCTTTCGTTGCCGGCAGTACATTCATGGCCAGCGGTACCCCCTCCTTCACAGGAAGCCCAACCACATCTGCCCGAGGAGGCCTTGTCTCTATCCACTGCATAGCACTCCAGGGAGAGCAGCTGCCCCAAGGAAACGCAGGCTTGGCAGCCCGTGGATTTCCCTTACATGCTAATAGCTTCTTGGTCCTGTTCCTCAGCCCTTTGCACACCGAAGATCCCAGGAAGAGATGATTCTGTCAGTGGAAGAGATCGACACTCACATTGCAACTGTTGATGAGGAAAGCCCTCTCTCTCCTCCTCCCTCCCCACCACCAGTGCTTATTCATGTAGGGCTTGCAAATCCTGATGCCATAAATGTGTCTACTATTTCCTTGAGGGAAGACCAGATTAGCATAGAAGATGAAAGTGGCTCTCTGTCATCCAGGCCGGCGCGGGCCTGCCTGGCAAGCCTAGAAAGCCTCAGCTCTTTGACCTCCATCCCAGGGCAGGCCCCACTGGCCACCGCAGAAAGCCTCAGCTCACTGTCTTCTCTCTCAGAGCCGGCCTCGCTGGCCTCTAGAGAAAGCCTGAGCGATCTCCCCTCCACCCCAGAGCAGGCCCCACACAGGTATGGCATTCACGTTAATGGTTTTGAGAACGATGACAGTGTTACTCCTACTGAAATCCGCAACCTTGCTGAGGCCCATGACCACGCTGAGATCGGTGACCCAGAAGACCCTGAAGAGAACTTCAGCTTGGATGAGAGTCCTGTCCATATCCCTAGTGGGAGGCCTCTGCTGCTCTACGGCCACAGGCGTGTGCGGGAAGCAAGCTGCAGCCTTGATGAGATCCGTAGCAACCTTAATGAGATCCGTAGCAACCTTGATGAGATCCGTAGCTTGCCTGATGACATCAGAGTTGAGAGTGGCTACCTTGACCTTGAGAAGCAACTCAGGTACGATCTTTACAACTGGAGGCCTGATGCTAAGAATTTTGTGCGCCTTAACCGACGCAAGGACAGTAACTCCGAGTCTGAGGACAGTTGCCCCCCAAGTCCTGGGTGTTCCTTCACCGAAGGGTTCTCCTCCAAGCTCTTTGACCCTGACTATGTCCCTAAGGTCGACAAGTGGTCCCGGATCCTCTTCCCTCTTGCCTTTGTGGTGTTCAACATTGTCTACTGGGCATATCATCTCAATTAGTCCCATAGTGCCCCTTCGTGGTTCCTCTCAATTCCATTTTGCCTTCTTCCTTCATTTTATTTTCTGGTTATTTGGGCAGTTGAATCAGTTCTGCCTTTCTCTTTATAAACATGAGGTGGGAAGTAGTTGGAAAGGATGTGTTCTGGCTGGAAGGAAAGGGATTGAAGAGGAGTTGGAGGTGAATACCACATTGATTTTCCTTTTCTGCTAGACTCTCACCTTTTCAAAGCCTTCCAATATCTCTGAAGCACAGAAAAGCCCCTAGAAATGTTTGGAGGACAAAGCCAGGGTGGGAGACAGAGGAAGGATCCAAGCCCTGTGCATGAATATTTCTGGGGGGTTTTCTGCACCCATCCCTGAGGTATTGGATTTGTTTTTCTTTTTCATTACTTTTTTACTTCTGTTTTTCCTTCCTAAGGATTATGGTCCTTGTTCACCCCCTGACAGGAGAAAGTCCAGCTGGGTTGAGCAAGGGTACGCAGGGGAAGGATTAGCCATGGATTGAAAGTGCCTCTTCCTCACTATTTTCTTCTGTTATGTTTTGAATGCAGTGTTGTAGTGTGGGGTTGGAAATGGAGTGTGGGTGAGTAGGGGTACTGAGTGAGATGTCAGAGTGAGTGACAGATCATGTTTCCAGCAGGAGCTTGCAGGGGTGATGAGGTCAAGTTGGAGACTCCCAGATTGAATTGACATCATTGAAGGGATTGGACCTTCTCTTGTCTATATTTCTGCTTCACAGTGCTTGACAGTACAGATGGGGTACATCCGTCGGTCGGATGCTGACTTGATCACTAGTCACAGAGCAAGCACTTGCCAAACGGAGACTAGGGTCAGGAAATTTTTGACTTGCTCTTTCGCCACCTGATCTAGAATAGCAGACGAACAATTGTTGTGAATCTCTATAGTAATTCTGTGTGTCTAGTGCATAGCAAATGTCAACAAGCTCACTGACCCATCACGTTGTTACACCCTCACAGGAGCCCAGTAGCCAGGGAAGGCAGAGCACATTGTCCCCAGTGTTCCAAGGGGAAAAAATGGAGTTTATGTATCATGCTTCAGGATATTCAGCTAGTAAGTGGTAGAGTCACTCCACTTGCTCTTCTTTCTTCTTATCCTCTTAACTCTCTCAACTGAAGTGCTCCCCTCTCTCCTCCCCATCTTTACAAATGGGGGTGCTCCATCAGGTTCTGTTTATTTGCCAGGCACCAGACCTCATTCTACAGCACCTGGAACAGCTGTGCAGGAAGTGACCAGTGACCAGCCACTGAGCGTGAACCCAGCACGTGGAACACAGCCACCGCCCACCCAGTGAGGCGGCTAAGGGAAACAGAAAGTAGCCTGCACCCCAGTGTTCTTGGCAGCTCCACCTCATTAGTAGAGGCCATGGGAGAATAAGATTTGCCAAGCGCTCAGCCTATGTTTCTCCTTCCTGCCCAGGCAGCCTCTCCTGCAGCCCCTCAGCCACCTCCCCTCTTGATTGTGTTTCTGTGTTTGTGTTTCTGTGTATACCTGAGTGCATGTGTGCATCAAGGTAATTATGTACATACAACCATTTGAGAAGCTGTACAGACCTATGTATATCAGTGTAAATCTATATTGGTGTGTATAAGAGTGTATATATAACAACATGTGGTGCATGTTTGTGTGTGCACACCCCTATGAAAGAGTGTGTGTGCTTGTGTGTACACACATGGGTATATGCTGTGTGTGTGTGGGAGCATATGTGCATACTCAAATTTATTTATCTGATTTGAATAAGTGTGAAAGGAAATACACCTGAGAGCCTATATATTTCCTGTTGGTGGCTCTTCTAGAACCACCTGATTTCCTTTGGCCTGTTCCCATATAAGCGGGGGAGGGCCTTATTTGGCCGGGCTGGTTAACTGACTGTTCCTTTCCAATTCCCTGTTCCAGGGAGCAGTGTCTCCCGGTCCCCATCCACTCATCTCCTCCTTCCACCCATCTGTGCTGTCTCCTGGACAGAAGACACAGGAGAAGTGAATGTGGTCCTAGGAAGTGACAATTTAGTGCCTTGAGGTAGGAGGTGCTCGAACATGGGATAAGCTGGGAGCACAGAGCATTGTGCTTTGTTTGTCCTAGAATGACATGTTTGAGGTCAAAGGCAGGGGTTGGCCAAGGGAGGGCCGAGGGCATGCCTTGAAGATGCATCAAGAACAGATACATGATGTAGACAATGGGTGGGGAAAGCACAAGAACTGGAGAGGGAGTTGTATATAGCCCTTATAACTCATCCCCTTATTGCAATCATATTGTAAGCCCGACATGTGTGGGGGCTGAAGGCAGCCAAAAGCAGGTGGGTGATGTGAGGAAATAGCCCAGGGGAATCAACTGCAACACGGGATGCAGAGAACCAGAGGTGCCTGGGAGAGGGCTGCAGGTATGGACCGTGGGGACGGGTCCTTTCGGGGTCACAGCACTATAGTAACCCATCCTGCATCTTGGGACCATGATGGATTTGGAATCCAGGAGTCCCTCCTCCCACCCTCTCTAGGGAAAGAGATTGTCAGAAGAGTGAGAGGATTCACTAAGGAGAGAGGTGCAGAGGAGCCCCAGGGGCTGACTACCTAGATCAGCCCAGCTTCTCGTGTCGTCTTCTCTATACACACAAGGTACAAATAGAGCCTCCTACACATACACAGCCAGAGAGACCTACACAGTCACGCATACATGTATACACATGTGGGCACTCACCCTCAGCACTAAATGGATGTATACACAAACACACTTACACTCACAGCCACATACATATTCACATGCACAGTCACACACGATCACCCTCCTAGTTGTGTGCATGCACACACACAAAACAGCTAAAAATAAAGAAGTTGCCACTGAAATGTCTAAGCTCGTCTCTCTTTTTGGACACCTCTCACAGGAAGATGCAGGTTGGAAGGAGAGAAATGACCCCACATCTGAGGCTCCCATCATGGCTATTGAAACACTTGCTTCCTGGAGCCTAAACGTTGTTCGGTTGATTGGGATCTGAGTTTCCAGGACCCTGGGGGGCCTTGGAGCCCTGTGGGAATTGAGCCATTTATTTGGGGTGATGGCATACAGAGAGATTGGAGCAGTGGAGACCAGAAAGTAGGTTTGAAGATGTATTTCACATCAATGCACAGGAAGGCTTCAGAGCTCAGAGGAGGGGGTGGAGAGGCCAGTTGTAAATATCTCTGTAGATCCATGTAGCTAGATAAAATATTTATACCTTAAAAAGAACATCTTGCCCTAAAGTGCTGCAACAAGAACAGTCAAACTCGACTGCAACTCACACCATGTGAGGTTAAGTGTCAAGGTGAGGTGGAGGTTTGGCAATGACACCTTTGCGGAAGTTCGAAGCTTCTGAGTCGTTCATCATGGACTTGATCGTTCTAGCCTGCAGATTGCCAAATCTCCCCTTGCCGTGTTCTGTGTGTGTTCTGTCGTCAGCGTCATCGTTGAGCCCCATCCTCAGCCAGCTGCCTCCATCCCCTCCCACGCCTCATCTAGCACCAGGTAACTCTGGAAGTGCAGAGCATCTGGCAGGGCACTCTTGGGGGTCCAGTGCACAGAGCCTTTCTCAGCCCCAGCCAATCAGAGAGTGCTTATGGTGAGAATCATTTGGAGCTCAGGTGAAAGGAAGTGTCTTGTTGAGCCTGGGATGGAGCACCCCTCACTTTGCTTTCCTACCCACGTTTCCTTTCTTTTCTTCACATGGGGCTATCCCATTAACTCTGTCCCTAGAATTCCTTTTCCTGCACTACCACAGGAAGGACACCCTCTGTCTCTTCAGAGTGTCCTCTTGCTGTGAGGACGTGTGACACGTTTCCTGCCACTCTTTGCCCGTTCCATCTGCCACTGTCGGGTGCCTTTACAGAGATAACGGATGATCTTTTGGTTCTTACTGGAACTTGTAAAATGTATTCATACAACCCGTGTCATCTTGTTAATAGCAAGGCAGTGAGGTCTTTGCATATTTAGAACTGAGTTTTGCTGAGACTGTGGCCATTCCTAATGAGGTTTCTTTATTCTGTACATAAAAGAACTAACCCTTTGAGCTATTAACTAATGAATGCATTTGCTCAGTTATCAACCTGCGTGGTACCCTGCCGTGGTGATGAGCATCAGAGGAAATCGTGACTTCTATTGAAAGTGCAGTGTGTTTGTGTTTGTTGTGTAGTATCCTGTGATCCATATGAAATCTCTATTATCAGTGTTGGGTTTTCAGGGTGGGGGGGAGTGTGTTACAGTATCTCTCTGATATATTTCAATTATAAAATAGCCCCGGTTGGTCAGGGTCACCTCTGTCAACGTGCGTGAGACTTTGCACCCACTATCTTGCCAGACTGCATCCCTGGGGTCAGGGGTCATCAGCAGAACTGGAAGTGCCCGAGTGTAGTGTAACTGGCTGTAGTGCCTGACTTTGGGCAGTGCCAGAGAGTTCTTCAGTGCACAGGCAAGGCAGTGCCATTCTGAGGCAAATGAAATACAGTAAAACCACAAACATGGACGTCTTCAAGGAAACCAAGAGAGGAGGAGGACCAAGACCCACATGTCTTACTGGCCTGACCTGCAGAAGGGTGCAGAAAATCAGAGACCACCCCCTACCCCCAAGACGACCCAGCCTCTTTGTCCTCATTAAATGTACAGTGTTGCATGAAAAAGACCTTGACCAGTCTGGACTTCAAAGAAGGAAAACATGAAGAAACATCAAATTATGTTTCTGAAAAGTATGCCAAAATAAAGGTGTGTAAATAGTCAAAAGGAGAAAATAAATATATATGATAGCAATTACACTTATGGGTTGTTGTGTTTATTCTCTGTCAGATTGGAATGGAGTTTGGGCCCAGGAAGTCTCTGGCTTCCATTGCTCACCTTTGCCCTCCCAAGGCTTTGCACATTGACCTACTCGTCCCCTAAGATATTTGAATCCATGGTTTTCAAGCCGAGTGGAAGTAGTAATGTATAGTTGCAATTAGTTTACACTTGCACACAAGCCATTTTAATCATTTAAGACAAAAATTATGGAACAGGTCAAGCCATTGCAGTGCCAAAATAACAATGTGGACATTTATTTCCACTGGCAGGAGGATCTTTATTAAGAACATTTTTTTAGGGATCCCTGGGTGGCACAGCGGTTTGGCGCCTGCCTTTGGCCCAGGGCGGGATCCTGGAGACCCGGGATCGAGTCCCACGTCGGGCTCCCGATGCATGGAGCCTGCTTCTCCCTCTGCCTGTGTCTCTGCCTCTCTGTCTCTGTGACTATCATAAATTAAAAATAAAAATTAAAATTAAAAAAAAAAACAAAACTTTTTTTAGGGATCCCTGGGTGGCGCAGCGGTTTGGCGCCTGCCTTTGGCCCAGGGCGCGATCCTGGAGACCCGGGATCGAATCCCACGTCAGGCTCCCGGTGCATGGAGCCTGCTTCTCCCTCTGCCTGTGTCTCTGCCTCTCTGTGTCTCTCATGAATAAATAAATAAATCTTTAAAGAGAGAAAGAAAGAAAAGAAAGAGAAGAAGGAAGGAAGAAAAGCAAGCCCAATGAGGGTAGGAAGAGGGCATGCTAAGGTTTTAAAAACTTTGTAGAGTCCTACACATTGTTGGAGCTTGGAGTTGAGGTCCCTGGCTGGCGGATGAACTCACAAGTGTAGCTAGTCTGCCACTTGAGGGGCAAGTCTTTCCTTAACCACAAAGGTCTCTGGCCGAGTGATGAGTTTGATAGTGATTCTTGCTATAAGTATATGAAAAATAAAAACAAAATGAAATGAAACGAAATGAAATAAGCTTTGTAGAGTCATATTAAAACATCCTGCCACTGGTGCACCCACCCTCAATGAACACCTTTTGATGAAAACCTTGGAGTTGCGACAGGAACCCTAAGCTGATGGACCCTCTCTGTGGTTCATTTTGTGCCCAAACGGGCCAGGAAAGCAATGCTTTCACACCCTGCTTTGCTGATCTGCCCATGGTGAGAGGGGACTGGTGTTGTTACAGGTACACACTGAAGGAGAAAAGGCAGTTGGAAGTGAGGAGGAGTTTTCACAGTACACCTAGAACCTACTGTTAGCTACTGAGGTCTTTTTTGCAGGCTAAGCTCTTGCCACAAGCCAGGTTTTCTTTTTTCCAAGTCAGGTTTTGAAGGTGGCCAGCGACCCCAAGTGGAGCTTGCTGCCCTTGAATGGTCCTACTGTCACTTGCCGCCCACCCTAAGAGACAGGGTAGAAGAAGGGGGATATAGCCTCCCTCTCCCTTTACAGCTTCCCTTAGGGTGAAAAAGCCCTTGCCACAATCTGTCTAGGCTTTTGGCAAGGCCTCCCTTCCCAGCCTCCCATATTGGCTCAGCCTCCTCCAAGCCCTAGCAGGGGCTTCCAGGGGCCCCCCTGATATGGCCCTGGCACTGCTTACCCAGTCCAGGTCTCTCCTAAGCTCTCTTCCTGATAAGAATCTCAAAAGAGAATTAGTAAGTAATACAGGACTGAGGCAGATCCGTTTTATTTTTTAATAACCTTAAGTGCAATTTTATACTGATTTTTTTAAAGTAACACGGAAGAAGGAATATTCATCATGAGACTTCAATGAGTTTCTGTCCAATGGTCTGAAACCCAATGTGCAAGTGCCAGAATTTGATCATGAACTCTTCCCATGACCAAGCTAAGACTGGCTGCGACAGAATGCAGTTCAGCCTCCTTGACTCCAGATTTCTCTATTTCAATTACAAATCAGCTTCTTAGGGGTGCCTGGGCAGCTCAGTCAGTTAAGCACCTGCTTTTGGCTCATGTCATGATCTCAGAGTCCTGGGGTCAAGCCCTGTGTCAGACTCCCTGTTCAACAGGGATCTGCTTCTCCCTCTCCTCTGCCCCCACCTCAAATAAATAAATGATCTTTTATTTTAAAACAACAACAACAACAAATCAGCTGCTTAGAAAATCCCCCTTTAATGTTGCATGGGGGGGCAGAAGTAAAAAATTTATTGGAGATAATGGACCCAGCCCCTCTTCCATCTAGAATACTCTGTGTGCCCTTGGGTAAGACCCTGTTTATTTGGGGGCATCTTCCAGCCCTCTCCTTTCCCAGCCCATTCTCACTCTAGGTCTGGTGCACAATTCAAAGCTCTGCCCATTAGGAAGATTTTTCCCTTCCCACTCTCTTTCAAGACCACCTCCAAGTGCCAACCATTTTCAGCTTATACCACATACTAAACCAGCCCACACTTAAACCAGCCAGGGCCCAGAGGAACCCCATATGGTCATAGGTGCAATCTGGGGAAGTGGTAGTGGGTGGTAAGGGGGTCTGAGCTATCTGCTCATGCAGTTGAGTCCTCTGGTGGTACTCAGGCTGGAACAGGCCAGCACTGTTATCTCTACCATGCTGTATCATTGGATGGGAACAGCATACGATTTTGCATCTAACCAAAGACCCTGTGTTTGTGGTTTGGCATAGGCCAGGGCTCCAGGACAGTCTCCATCCTGGCACTCTCTACATAGAGGAATATGAGGATACTTTGCTAAGGAAAGTGAGACCTCCGCCTTCCTGTCCAATGAGTAGAAGGGACTCTGTCCTATCACACCACCAGAGAATGGGTAACCATGTAATGTCCAATTTGTTATAAGATAACCAGTGAGGGAAGGCTAGGCGAGTGCTGCTTGTGATGGCAATCTCCAAATCCCAGTAACTTAACCCCAAAATATCTTTTATTTCCATCTCACATTGTGTGTCCAATGTATGTCATCAGGGGAGCTTCTGCTCATTGTAGGCACTCGGACAAGCTGACAGAGGCATTGTTGGTATGTGCTCCTCCAATCTTTGTAGTGAAGGGAAAGGAAAGGGGGAGTGTCTCACACTACTGATTAAATGCTTCATTCAAAAAGGATATACATCACTTATGCTCACAATTCATTAACTAGAAATTATAGCCCAACGCAACTATGAAGAGCCAGGACATTTAGTCTGCTATGTACCCAGGAGAGGTGAACCACATATCACTGAGAAGTACTAATGACAACCATTGGGAGTTTCCCTTGATCTTTGCAGGAATATTACTTGCTCCTCTTCCTACTCAGAGGTACCTATGCCCTCCTTTGTAGTGGTTTTCTCATCTTTAACTTTGACACATGAGCCAGCATTATACATTAAAATTCCAAAATATTACCAATCATCAGAGAGACTGTTTGCCATTCTTTTAAAAAAAAGATTGTATTTATTTATTCATGATAGACAGAGAGAGAGAGAGAGAGAGAGACATAGAGAGAGAGGCAGAGGCACAGGCAGGGGGAGAAGCAGGCTCCATGCCAGGAGCCTGACGTGGGGCTTGATCCCAGGACCCCAGGATCACGCCCTGGGCCAAAGGCAGGCACCAAACCACTGAGCCACCCAGGGATCCCCAGTGTTTGCCATTCTTAAAGGAAGGCTTCTAGCCTCTGGAAGAAGTTGTACCCTCCCTATAGACAGGAATCTAATTTGTCTTTCTACCCACTCTGGGCTGACTTGGTCCTCAGCAAAGTGGATCTGGAGACAAATCAAGCCTCCACTGAAGTCTCTGATAAAACTACAAGTAAGCTTCTTTTGGGATCTTAGGATTTCCGAATATTTCAGAATTCTTCTGAGAGTCCAGGAGAGCAGCTGAAAAAAAAAAAGTGTGTGGAGCAGCGATTACATGGGTTCATTTCTGAGTAGCAACTCCCCGTGGGTGAATCAGATGACCAAAATGGACTCCTTCCTCCTGTGGGTCCCCTCAGCTAATAACCCTACGGCCCTATTTATGGGTGATGCCAGTCTTGGAGAATGAGACTGCCAGCCTAAAGTCTTTCCAATTAGGAGCTTCAAATCCTATTTTTATGGTGGAGGAACTTTATTAGACACTTCGATGACATCCTGCCCAGACTGGTGGCAGTTCATGTGGTAGAAGGGAAGATGCTCCCCCTAGCTCCCTGACCACTGTGGAATCATTCCATGATTCCTATCTTCTCCCCACTTAGAGTACCCCTGACCTCAGGGAGGAGAGAGACCCCTCCTTTGTTCCATTAAGTACCCCAATCCCCAGTAGTGGCAGTCTACAGAAAGGGTTTGCTGCAAGACAACAGGATCTGCAGGTCACCTTCACGAGAGCAAAAATGGAGTGAGTCCAAGGCCTCCAAGTCATTCCCCCTGGAAAGAACTCTAATCCAGGTGGGGAGGGAGGAAGGACTCTGCTCCCATCACATGTCAACAACCTGGCACTGACTCTAAGTCAGCAAAGGACCCCTGGACCAGTTCAGGGTATCTATAGTCAGCCCAACATCTCATTACCCTGAGTCTCTGGAATTATACTGTCAAGTCATACATGTATGAGTATGTCAAGACATACTCTCTAGAGCTCTAGAGAGCGGGAGAAAGACTGGTCCGGTAGGAGGCAGAATAAAAGATTATTGGCCCATGTAGCTTTCTCCCAAGCCACTGCTAAGTACCCGGTCCTGCTCTTTGAAAGCAAAGGCCCAAGAAGATGGCAAAGCCATCAATGCTGGCAACAGGGGGGCAAAACAAACTGCCATTTTCATTCATCCTCCCTAATTCATATAATCTCCACTGATTTGACCAATATCCCTGGCCTCTTTTAGTTCTTTCTACTCCAGTATTATCCATACCCTACCTGACCAGGACTGCTGGCTCTCTGGATGACAGAATATATGAAGGATCATTTTACTATTGCATATATTTACATGTGGAGTTGCATATTTTTATAATAACAATGTTTATAGCAGCAATATCCACAATAGCCAAACCATGGAAAGAGCCCCAGATGTCCATCTACAGAAGAATAAAGATGTGTTATCTCACTAAAAGAGGGGATCTGACATAGGACTGTAGAAAACTTCCTCTCCCCAGATACCTTACCACCACATTAAGGGCTTAGTTATAGTAGTTCTTTCTACCCAGTACATCATGTCCAGCTATCAAGAAAAAATTACAAGACATTCCAAAAGCCAAAAGTACAATTTAAAGAGAAAAAGCAGGCATCAGAGTTAGATGTGGCAGGGCTGTTGGAATTACTGAACCAGAAATTTAAAACAACTATGATTAATACCCTAAGGACTCTCATGGATAAGATAGGCAGCATGCAAGATCAGATAGGCAATGTAGGAAGAAAGAAAAAATTTTAAGAATCAGAAAGAAACGTGAGAAACCAAAAACTATATTGAAAGAGAAAAATAAAGTTGGAAGACTGACACTACCCAACCTCAAGACTTACTATAAAACTACAGTAATCAAGAGAGTGTGGTATTGGTGAAAAAACAGATGAATAGAATAACAGAAGAGAATAGAGATCCCAAAAATAGACAAATATAAATATAGTCAACTGATCTTTTACAAAGGAGCAAAAACAGTATGACAGAGAAAAGACAGTCCTTTCAAACAAATGGTATTGGACAACTAAACAACTACTTGCAAAAAAATTAATTTGGACACAGACCCTAATCCTAACCTTCACTAAAATTAACTCAAAATGGATCACAAACCTAAATGTGAAATGCAAAACTATAAAACTCCTAGAAGATAACATAGGAGAAAACCTAGATGCCCTTGGGTATGGCAATGACCTTTGAGATACAACACCAAAGGCACAATCTATGAAAGAAATAATTAAGCTGGACTTCATTAAAATTGATTACTTCCATTCCATGAAAAACAATGTCAAGAGAATGAGATGAGAAATCCTAGGCTGGGATGCCTGGGTGGCTTAGCGGTTAAGTGTCTGCCTTTGG